ATAGGGGTAATTTTAAAAAAAATATTTAGGGATTTACAAATAATATTATGTAGAAAAATAATTATAATATTAATAAACGAACATGTACTTACCTTGATACTTTCATGAAATGAACAATGCAAAATTTCATCCTCTTCTTCACCATTTCCTGATATTCCAAATCATTAAGTAGATTTATACTTGGATGACGATGTCCTGTTATTTGTTCGATTCTTTCGTTTAGGATTATAATTTGGAAATAAAAATTTAGTGCAATATATGGCCCAAAACCGAAAGCGATGAAAGAACATAACGTCTCCATTGATAAACTTATCCAAAAACATATGACGAAAAGAGATCTGTTTTTGATAAAATTACGTTGAATATAATCTAGCCCGAAAAAGGAAGGATCTTTTATTGTTACTTCTTGAAAAACCACCCATGCGAGAATTACAAAGCCAAACAGTGTTGTAAATTCAAAAAATCTAGATGTTCTAAAAATTTTTTTTCGCAGTTGTTTTGTACAATAATCAAGTGAGATATACAATTTCTTTTGACTAGAAATTATTAAAGATCCCATCAGTTTTAATGATATAAATAGACATGGAACTGATGACACCTAAAATTATCATTAAAAACACAGTTACACTTATCTACATCTATAAAATAATTCTAGTCCTTACCAGTACATATGTAAAGGTATGGGCTCCATACTTTGTGACAGACTCTGTGTCCGAAAGAAAATAATAATTGTAAAATTGCAGAAAGACAAATGAAAAATTAATCAAAGAAAGTATCACTGACAAATTGAATAATAGTTTGTGTATAATGAATGCGTTTATAATTATCCCAAGGATAGGAAGAGGTTCGTCTAAAAAAAAAAAACTATAATAAAGGGTGTATAATGAAATTTAGTTGGTGAATGGGAATTTTTTAAACTTTTAGGCATTTTTACGTCCAGTATTACAAAACTGGATTTTCTTTGCGTAAGTACCTAAAGAGTGTACACTAATCCTACAGCAATCAAAGAATAATTAAAGCAATGTATTCGAGACATTTGGAACTATCTTGTTAGTCTAAACGTGTGACCTAAAGGCACTAACAACCTAACACACTCTACAATCGGCTTCCTGAATCCTTAACCATAGTGGGTGACGAAAAACGCTTTGAGATTGTGCTTCGAGTAAGTTACCCTGGTGTTGCGTAATCTTATAACATCAACATGGGGTCATACTGTAATGCACCTATTTTTTTTATTACATATTAAACATTAGGTTTAAAGGCCAAATTATTAGATCCGGAAAATGGTTACATCACCCTCTATTTTATAATGAGGCGGGTGAGCGTGTCCCTTCTACGATGTACCTATTCGGTGAATCTGCCTATTCGCTGTACCTATTCGCTGTTTCTGGATTTATTTGGAAGATCGAGATAGTTGTTAGTCAAACCCAAAGACAAACAACTACTAGAGCAATTTTATTTACAAAAGGTGAAGTGCAAGCAGTCACCTTATTGTTCACAGCATGGCCTAATTAAAAAAAGGGGAGTTTATGGATATGCTTGGAATTTAATCAACTGAAGGCTTTGAATGTTACATTATGGGCCGGTACTTTCAGTCCTAGTCAATCATGAGTAACTAAATTTAACAGATGATTAAAGTTGACAGCAGAATTATATATTTGCAATATTAAAGCCAGTTTAATGTCTTTTTCTGATTGCGGCTATTGTTTGTAGCTAAAGGTTATGTCCAGGAAAGTACGCCATTTATTTTGCAGTGTGATCACAGTGTAAAGCGAGCATTCGTAGTCGTAAGTACTGGTTTATTCATAAAATGCGGGCTCGCAGATTCCATTCCCACCCCTTTTATTGCAGCAACAGATGCGATAACTCTATATGATTAACATAAACTACGAACTGAAAGCTTGCATATGAACAAGTTTTTAAAAAGTGTTTTCACAAGTCGAATTTAGTTGAACGATTTTTATTGATCCACTAAAATCGAATGAAAAGCCCTGCTTGAACCTACATTTTAATTATTGTTGAACGACAAAAGGCGCTTTAACAAAAGGTTGACCTATTCCAAATTTATCGTTATATGAATGAATGGAATAGTTTATAAAGGCGCGTTCTCATGGGTCAAATTTAGTTGACCGGTTTTAGTTGATCAAAAAAAGTTGAATACAACCAGGTCTGTTATATCTAAGGGGATCGCAACATAGGAGTCCATTTTGGAGGCCATTTAATAGATTATTAATAATCTCACATGTACATAGAATAAGTCGTGAAAAGTAGATCACTTTCAATTTTGTGCTGTTTTGGTTTGGTTCATTTTAAAAGGTAATTGAAGAGATGAAGACAATTTTCTTATAGATGAAGATGCATAACAAATTATGGCTCCCTTTTTTAGAGCTCCAGTCTCCTAAGTCTATTTATTTTAGGTCTTTTTAAATTGTTGGTAGTGATAGGTATTATTCACTTCATTTGTATGTTTTTATTTGATTTAAATAATTTTGTGTAATATCTTGCGATTTGTTTTCTATACATTTTAGCATGTATTTGTTGGCACTATCTTACAAAGGATGGCTTTGAAATACATTTACAACAGAGATACTGTCCTAAAACTGGCCGAAATTTGAAAGTGAATACAATTCTTAGAGAAAATCTCCAGTAAAAAATGTCTGTATGCAAAATAACAGTAGCATAGATTAACAAAGCTGACAAAAGAGTTGGACAAACCTTTGTCTAGTTTTTTTAATATTTCAGTACAATAGTGTTAACAACAGAGCACAACAAGAACAACCAAACTTTAGTAAAATATTTCAGTATCTCTAGAATTATAAACGTATAAAAACTATAATAGGAAACATGTATGGCTTTAAATAGGAAATTACCTAAATAGGCATATCTAGTGAATATTTTATTTAAAGAATATATTTTTAATTAAAACTTGTGTGCTTCTACTCCAATACTTACCATATAGAAATGCATATGCATTTTATAGTATTAAGCAAGATTTTGATCAAATGTACCCACAACTTATAAACATTATTAAACTAAAATAAAACATTTCAAATAACACCTGTTTTTTATTTAAATAAAACATGTTAAATATATGTTTTTATTAAATACATAAATTAGTCTCAACCACATATTTTTTGTTTTGTTTTTACTTCTAGTGTAAAAGTGACTACTAATTCACAGTCTTTTAAGTTTATTATTTAAAGAGACCAGCTACTACAAAATATCCTATTGATGATAAAATAATTTCTCTTTAATAATGGTTTTGCATTTATCAACATTTTACAGAACTTTGTTTATATGAAACATCTATTTAGCTCTTAATTAAATCACATTTAAATCAAGTAATTACATTTTCATATTCAACTTATGTATTCTTGATGGAACTTAGTCACTTTTGTTTTAATTTGTCACTTAAAAATGTTGAAAGATAATGTCACAAAGGTAAAATTCCTTCTTCTATGATGTTTTCCATGCAATTTTAGGTTGGATACGTTTTGTCCAACACCTTTTTTACAATTTATCCGAAGCAACACTATGAAAGATTTAAATCCTGGATTTACAGCATTTAGTTTTGAGATGAGTACAGTCACAATGCAGTTTCAGAGATAATTTTCACATGAACACTTATTTACCACAGCACAAACGCATGTACCTATTTATGTAACATTAAAATAAAGTGGAAACAAATTGCATAATTTGGTATATAAAAAAGTACAAAATATTTTTAGTTTTAATTCGACATTCGACTACGAGGAAAACTGTGGTTCATTCCACTTGTACCATATTGACATTATTATGAACGATGCACGTTAAAAGTAGATCTGTCTCTGTTTTTATAATACTATTACGGCAGGACAAACGATAACCGTGAACTTCGCCAAACGAACATCAGAAAAGTGTTGCCAACTTAAGCTGACTACTATTTACCCCCTAGCCTCAGTCAATCCCTCATCCATTTACTGGGTCTATGTCGCGACTCCTTAGATATACCAGCCCTGAATATAACTTGAATCAATTGTTCTTCACACATTTCAATATAAACTGAATTACCAGTTTCAATGTAAAATGGCGTCGAATGCAGTTGTATATGTGTACATATACTTTCACTTTTGTCAAGAAGAACTGAAAAGAATTTTTGATATGAACAAAAGTCGTAAGAAATGTCGTTTTTGGGTGAGAAGAAATAGATTGGGAGCATCAGAAACCTTGCTAAGGGAGCTGGCTCTAGACTAGAGGATAAAAAACTGTATAGAAATTATTTACGAATGTCTGAGGATAAACTCGAGGAACTGCTCTCAAAAGTTCAGGATACAAAAAAACAAGAAACAGTGATGCGTCAAGCAATCTCACCAAGAATAAAGTTGTAAATAACTTTAAGATATGTAGCTTCAGGATATTCATTTGCAACCGTTGCTTTCACATACCCAGTACATAAAAACACCATTTCAAATTTTATGGGAGAAGTGTGTACAGCAATATACGATGCGGTACAAGATTTCATTAAAGTAACAAAACTTATTTTTAAAATTTGCTAAATTTATGTAATACAAAATTTAAACTACTCTAATTCTAAGAGACCTCTTAAAGCATTAGAAAGTATCGAATTCGAACCCTTTGGAGCTGTTCGTGCATTATATGACTGTAGTAAGTTGCGAAACCTCTCCGTATGGTCTGCTGAACGATTGATTTAAAGACGACCCTTGTTCTTCATTCATGTTGCTTGAAATCGGCGGTGATGCAGATAAATAATACTAATACTGAGACTCGTTAGAAGCTGCAATCGCTTTTCTCTAATAATTATAATTTGAATTTGTTCTTGAGACATTATTGCATCATAAAGAGGCATTTCTTTCAGCTGTGAAGCGAACTGTTTTGCTTTTATTTTTTTGGACTACTTAACTAAGCTTATCAATAGCTGCGCCCATTGTTGCGATATTTACGTTTCCTGATATTTTTCTTTTTCTATTCTGAGGAACACGAAAAACATGTGTTGTCTTTGATTATTTAGGTGTAGCCGCATTGGCAGTTTCTGTGTTTTCTACTGGTATAGCTTCTGCCTGACTCTTAATAGCAGTAACAGATGAACTCGCAGATGAAGCTATTGATGGAGGAAATTCACTTTCATTTTTGGTTTCTCCTGCATTCTCCGAAATTATTTGGCTTTCAGCTTCTTCATGTTGTAAGTCCTAAAAGAGAAAAGAGTTTTAATAGAATATTTTAGTAACAACTGTATTAAATATGCAATAAAATGTTAAATCTATTTTTTTGTTACAGGTGTCCCAAACTGAAGAAGACTGGAAGTAAATTCAAAGGGAATACTACTTTCGATGAAATTTTCCTGTTGTGGGACATTAATTCGAAAACATCATGTAATACGAAATGCCCCTCGCAGTGGATCAGAGTATTGCTTAACTTTTTTTGCGTGCGTTGACGCAAACTATTGCTTTCGCTATTTCGATATAGGCACAAATGGTCGAGCAAATGATGCTGCCTTTTTGCAAAATCATCATTTAATGTAACATTAGAAGATTATAGAAATAATTTACATTTTCCTAAAGATGGAGTATTCGTAGTTGACGATGCTTTCTCCTTAAGAACTTACATTTTAAAACTCTTTGGAAGAAGAACTCATTTATCTAAAAAACTGAAAATCTTTAACTATCAAGAGCTCGTCGCATTGTTAAAAATGCATTTGGAATTTTGGTTCCTTGATTCAGGTTTTTTTAACGACCTAGAGCAGTTGCAGTTACTAAGGTGGACGAAATTGATAAAGCAACTTTATCATTACATAATTACTTAAAAACGAGTTCAGGTAAAAAATATATACCAACAAGCTCTTTTGATACTGAAGATTTAAATACTAGGTGCATTATACCAGGCTCCTGTAGAACACAAGGAACTGATGCAAATGGTTTAGTTAATTTGCAAGTTAATTTGGGAAGTAGGAACCACACAACATTAGCGTCTAGTATGCGTGATAAATATGTCGAATATTTTGCCAGATCTGGAGCTGTACCCTGGTAACTAGATATGATACACGACGATGTGAATAATTAAAAGTTAATGTAAAAATATAATATGTAAACAATAAAAAGTATACTTACTAAATTTGACGAGGTATCCCTAGTATTTGTAACACCTTTTAGAAATATATCCGTTATTTTATACCAAAACAATTTTGATGTGAACAGTTCCTCTGTTCCCATTCCACTCTTTATAGATTTGAAAACCAATGAATGTGCTTTTTTGTACATTGTTCTAATAGTCTTGATTTTGTTCTTCAAATTAGCAATATTTAGACCAGAAATTCTCATTTCCTTTACAATAGATACCAAAGCATTTTCCCGAGCATCTCTATTTCTATATCCATTCGGTGATTCCACAGACAAATTATGCTTATGATATAGTTCCAAAATTTCCATCATAACAGTTTCATACCAATTTAAACTCATTTTTCTGAACTATTTTTTACTTTCAAGTAAACTTATTTTCACAAATCAAAACACACGTAAGTGTACCGCGGCCAGTTGCAAACGTACGCACTATTTATCTATGTATTACACATTCGACAAAATTGTCTAGTTCATACATTTCAAAACAAGCTTTAACTTAAAAACAATTCATGATGAATGATACAAATTTGACTGGATCAGTATTTACAAGTAAAGAAATAAAAAAAGGTCTTTTCGACACCTTGTCGACTAGACCTAGATAATTTACAAGAAATTGACTGATCAAATCCGAGTTTGAATTTCGCTACTAAAATATTTTAAACTACCAAGTTCTCGCAAATGTTCAATACCGCGAATTTCTAGGAAACCAAAATATGGGGCTCTTTAAAACTTTTCCAGGCGCAAATTAATTAAAATATACACCTCTACAACTAATTAAAAATAAAATTTAGAGACTTCGCCACAATAGCGTAAAGCCTTGTTCATAGTAGGTAAAACGATCTAGTGTTACCAAACGCAAACGTTCAGAGTGAGGGCAAACAGCGATACAAGGCTTTAGAATATAATCCGCTAATTTATCTATAAACTAAACTGTAACTTTTTCGCTAAATTATCTGTAAACTAACCTGTAAGTTTTTTTATTTCGTTTATGTTCCAATAATCTGAATTTTTCTTCATTTCTGAAGGGTCCATAATTTTATTTGGTATTAACAAAAATGTATATTTTGAAACACTTACAGACTTAGTAAGATGCAGTGTAGGTAATCTGTTATTACATAAAGAGATACAAGTGGTCTCAAATAATAACGGCATAGTGATTATTCAAAACTAAAGAAAGCTAAAGTTGTGTCATTAATATAAAGTTTACTTTAAGAGAGTTTACGTTACAGAATCATTATAGCTATGGTAAAAGTGAAGCAATTACCTTAATTGACAACTAATGTTATTGAAAAAGTTCAGGCATGCATAGAAAAATTATATACATAGCTTCATTAGAAGAACATGCTAAATGGTTAAGTTTTATTTACTTTCTCATAACATTATTTAATTGTAAACTTACGCGTAACTATTTTTTATTCAATGTATTACAAATTGAACATTTTTTTGACAGAAAATGTTTTTCCATTTGGATGTTGTACAAATAAATTCAGTGTAATACAAAAATTATTAATTATAAAAGTCGTCTTTTTTTTATGTTTTTTTTTGTTTAGTTGTAAAAAAATAGAAATAATTCTAAAGCACACTCCATAATGCTAAAACAACAATGATAATATAAAAAAATATGTAAAATTGATATTGTTCCAGTGTTTTAGCAGTAGAATTAAAGTACTGCTGAATGGAAGACTTTGAAATCGGAATAATGTAAAACCATTTATATAAAGTATTAGATAGTTTCTCTTATTATATCTATTAAATGTGTATCAAGGGAGAAGAATATATTGATAAAAAAATTTGTTGAGCCAAAAAAGAATAGTTATAATAATAAATTTTATTTTTTTGTTGAATGTCAATCAAAACATATTTGAATTAAAACTGCCAAGGACTATTTAACAGATTTGTTTTTGCCCTTTTAGGCATCCTTCTGCTCTCCCTCCCCTAGGGATTTCGACAGACTTCCCCCAATTAGGCTTGGATCGAGCCACTGGCTCTTCGGCAACACGATTGGTGTTCAGCCTGCTTTTTCTCCTCGCATAACGACACTGAAACCGAGATGGCTTATTGCGCCACCATTTGGATGCCTTATTCCTTCCCATGCATCATACATTTATTCATCGTTATTCATTCCACTTCATCAATGGTTAACTTCTAGGTCACCCATCCAAGACGTAAACGGAGACATCACAGCTTCACTGCCGCGAGAATGAGAATGCACAATAGTTTTGCGTCTAGCCTCTCCGGCTATTTAACAGATACTTTAGTTACTCTCTTTATGGTCCACTTCTGTATAAATAATGTAACGTAATACTGAATAGTTAGCACAAGAATAACAATATATGTCATTATTTAATTCATTACCTAATTTAAGAATCTTACATAAATAAAAATTCAATTACATAAATAATAAACTAAAATCAAAGCCAATCCAGGTAAATGCCATTTAATGTATTTTCAAATATCCCAAAAAACTTCTGCTTGGTAGCAAGCTACATACAAGCAGTTGAAAACTTATATAAATAAACTCGGACTCGCTCCCACTCTTTACATTTCGCTCCCACCCGCATAAGCCCGTTTAAAATAAATTGTTGAAAACAAAGCACACGCTCGCTCAACAGTTTTTAACACATCATTCTATCTCTCTGCACGTTGAACTTGGTCAAACCACATCATTTCTTTAAATCAGAGGTTCCCAAACTCTTTTGTTTCATAGACCACTTTCAAAATTTTGCTGGATCCGGTGAAATCGAGCCTACCTTTGCAACCATGGTACTTTTATGATTATAATTTTTTTGTTCTTTATGTTGTCTCACTCCAACCATGAGTACGCTTCTTAAGTTATTTTTGAATTTTTAAGACTAAACATCAGATTCACCTCTAGGGACCGCGGTTTCAGTTGTGCCATATTGGGTTCTCTGAAAATAGTTCTGCAGAGCCCGGGCTGACACATCAGAATCAAGCGAGTGATGTGTTTGTTTTGTCTTGACATTAAAAGGATCATTAAAAAGATAAATTCATATTAAACAATTATTTAAATTTAACAAATAAATCAAATTTGAAAAATTTTCTTTAAATTCAATACTAACAAATTTTGATTTCCTTTAACCACCTCCAATCACTCGAATCACACTTGAAGAAACATGTTCCACACTAAGGTGAACGCACCTCCTCTCTTGACATTTGACAGGTCAACGTCTTTAAGTGTCGCTTGTCACACTGTCAAATGTCGGTTAAATAATATTAATAAAAATAAATGTATAAATCAATTTAAATTTGAAAATATTACTAATAGTAATAATTATGATTTAGCAAGTTGTAAATCTCCAGAAATATTAAATTTTGGAGCGATAATCACCGAGAACTTGGTGGATATGCTTGTTTGTGGACAGTAGGTAGAATTTTTTACCATTATAATTTAAAGGGTAAACCTTCAGTTTTTTTCCTTTGGCCTTTTGAGTTTAACCTTTTTCATATTAACTATTGTATTATAAATTTAAATTTCAATATATTTTCCACAGTAATTTTTTTTTAATTTTTAACTAATTTGTTAACTTGTTTTCAACTGTACTTAATGCGAATAGTGAAGATGGTATAATTTCTTGGTTCCACACAAGGTAACTTGCTTCTTGAGATCAGATACGATTTTTTAGGAGCTTATTCCACACTCCCTATTTCCCACACTTAACCCAGTGTTGTCACTCCGTTTGTTATCTTTTAATTGTTAATTTGTTCAAAATTACCTTATATATATTTTTAACTTTTGACTTAAAAGTCTTATCTTGAAAGAGTAAAACCCAATTTGGTAGATTTTCACACTTTTATTTTAAAAATATAATTTTTTTTTTTTAAAAACACTACATGACATATGTTTCGAAGTACAACTCTTCTTTTTTAAATGTGACTAATTTACAAATCGGTATCCAATATATATACGAAATAATTTAACAAAACAAAGTACTTAAGAAAAACATCAATAACATTACATAATAAACTAACTATTTAAAGTAAATAAGGGTACTTAGGTAATTATAATATCAATCAGATAACAATCAGATAGCACATTACCGGGATTATCTCACAGAAAACTAGGAAAGAGATTTAATAAGGGTGAATTATTAATATCTAATTGATCATTTAGTAAGTTATCTGAATCTTTAAATCTATTTATTTCAAGTGTTTCTAAATGGTTTAATTTAAGGCTCTTATTTTCTATATGTAAAATTTCAAAGTTGTCTGTAAAAGAATGATTTTCAGCTAAAATATGATTTGAGTAAGTAGAATTATTTTTGTTTTTTGTATAGCTATTATAATGTTCGGAATAGCGTTTTTTGAAAGTACGGCCTGTTTGACCAATATACAATTTTGGACAACTACCACAATTTAATTTATATACCCCCGATTTATTATTAGGATTAATTTTACCCTTATTGTTTTTAATATACTTCCCAAGCGTATTATTGGTTTTAAAAGCTACGTTAATATTTTGGTTTTTTAAATATGTTGATACCTTTTCACTAGGAGCTCCTATATATGTAAGACTCTTATATCTGCAATTTTGATCTTCAATTATGGGATAAACTTGTTGAATAGCCTGTTTAAAAAGTTTTTTCTCTAAAATGTTGTCTACTAACTTTGAATTAAAATTATTATTTACTGCGATTTGTTTAATGATATTTAATTCTTTTGTAAAGTTCTCTTTGGTAAGGGGAATATTAACTAATCTATGGATCATACTGTTGTATGCTACCAACATATGTCATGTAGTGTTTAAAAAAAAAAAATTATATTTTTAAAATAAAAGTGTGAAAATCTACCAAATTTGGTTTTACTCTTTCAAGATTAAATGGATTTTCATCAAGTAAAGGCCGAAACAATAAATAATTTAAAAGTCTTACTCAGATTTTATTTTTACACATATTTATAAATTGTAAGTTTACATCCACAATTTTTGTAGATAAGCACTGATGATGGCACAATGCCAAAAGCGCTTTGCATTTATTAATTAAAAAGTTTTCTACGAAATACAAGTCTTTCCTTTTGAATCTAAACTACGAGCACACAGCTGTCAACCTTTTTTGGTTATTTTAATTAATTTTTATTACTAATGCAGTTAGACCTTTACTAGTAACATTTTTATAACTACCACCGTAAAACTAGCAAACTGAACCTGCAAAATAGTAATATTTTTATAACAACCACAGTAAAATAGGTTAACAATAAATGTACCGAACCGTTACGATTAATGGCGAAGAATTTGCCGAAGTCGTTTCTGGTTTGAATTATTGAGCGATCTTCGACCATATCGTCTTACACAGTCGTTGAGTTGAGTTCACAGTCACAGTAGA